CATTATTATCCCATTATTATACCTTTACTTGGAAAGTGAGGCGCTAAAAACCTATCTGCGGCCTAAAGAAGTTTAGCCTATTTAATTTCGGCCCTTACCTACTGCCAAGCTGTGCAGGTCTGCCCTAAATGATGGTTAATATTAAAACTGGGAATGACAACAAAATAATTTGGAATTTCCAGTTTGCATTAAGAGAAATCAAATGAGGATGTGATCCTGCAGCAAATGTATTCTATGTGTTTACCTTAATCTTATTTGTTTTCCAGCAATAGGATGGGTAGCTTTATGATGCAATGTCCACAAGCAAGAATGTTGTAAAGCACAACCCAGCCTCCTAATAACAGATGGCTTATGGGGATATAGTTATTCCCAGGCTCAGAGATTACATATTCACACGAATAGAGATACTAGTAAATCACACATGCTCAAAGAAGTATTTATTAGTTTATTATAATCCATACATATCAAAACTAGGGCAAATGCACAATTAAGAAAATAGCTTCCCTGGTCATTTCCTGTTAGGACTAGGTGATCAAATATGTCTAAATGGCATGGCCCAACTGAAACATTTCAATAGCAAAGGACACTCTGAAAAGTGCAATTTATTGCATTTCCCAATTGTGGAATCTCCTTTACATTAGAATTTATAAAGATTTAGGGATTTTTTCTCATACCATCATAATAATATGGAAGCTGCTTTTCTGTGGAGAAGTGCTATAAATCTGCAGTCAAAACGGTGCTCCAAAAATGTGGTTGCTTCCCCTGAACTTTCCAGCTGAACGTTATCCGACTGGGAAAGACGGCAGTAATAGAATGGGGGAAAAAAACCTCGTGGTAGGCATCACTCCTTCGTTTCAGAATATCAAACTGGGTGAGCAGTGGTGCGATGCTGATGTCGCCATTTTGATGAAAGGAGCAACATCTTGCGGACGCCCCCAGATTATCTAGCTTTGCTGCCAGTGGCGAGTATCAGGGCTACTTTGAACTGAATTAACATTTAAATGTAATGTTTGCAATGTATTTTGTTACTTTTACGTCCTAAAGCTTTCTAGATTGTGGGCTGGGAACCAGTACATCTGCCTCCAATTGATATCACTCACTTGTCAATTGCAGCTTTGTAGGTATTAGCTGTTATTAAGACTTAAGGCTGAGTCATGGACACATTTCTGACAAGATCCTAAAGAATCAGCAGACTTGTTCAGTACTATCGGCATACCAGTTTTGCAATTACGATACAAAGGTGTTGGATATTTTTTGTTTGGGCACACACTCTCACACTGTATGCATCCTGTTATGTATTAGGGATGTGCAAATAATCCTTCATGCTATTCAAACCATTGGTTCAAAATGAAACATTGATTTGCTCTGGAAAAAGGTATTGCTACATTTGCACAAAAGTGTTCAATCAATAAAATGAATCATTTTGATTCTGAGATTCGATCAAATTAACTTCAACTCTGCAAACGTTCCCCAGCCCTGCCAACATTTATACATATACATGAGGGTTTATATGCTGATAAATAGAAAACCTGTTGCCTAAAGAAGCCAGCTTTCCAGAATGAAGCGGGTTGGTAAATACCTGATCCTTATATAAGTCTATGTTAGATCATTCCTACTTTGACCCAGCAATGACATTTGAGCTTCTTCACATTTTTTCAGTTATTATTTTTGGTTATTCTGTATTATTTTTAAGATATGGAAACCTGCATGTCCTTCATGTGTCAAAATAGGTACATTCAGCCTGTGTGGAAAACAAGGTTTTTACAATCTGTCTCCTATTAAGAAATTGGCGCCTTCAGGCAAAAGGCTGCCTTCACTTCTGCATAAAATAGGCCTCAATGTTTAATGCAGTTCCCTGCAAATGAACAGCTATTAGTCAGCCGCATTTTTATATAATTATTGGCAGTGGAGAGGAAACATGAATACTCTGAACTATTTCCACCCAAATAAAACAGAAGCTACTCAGAGAGCTTCCAAAGAAGTAGGTGGACCAAAGTAAGAAGTGTTAGAAAACAGGGTGGGGAGGAAATTCAAATACTCTCACCCAAGCTGCTCTTCAAAAAGCAGGAAGGAACCAAGCATCTAAAAAAAAAAAAAAAGCATACTTATTGTAGGAGTTTAATTGGAAAGTAGCTTAAACTCTGGCTGCATTTTAAAACTAATTCTTTTCCAAGTTTACATATTAGTGAAGTTTTTAAGCTGCCACTCGAAAGAGTAACATTGTAAGGCAACAACTGAGCCAAAAACTCATCTAGAGAAGAAAACACTGGCGAGAAATAGCTAAATGTTCAGAATTGTCAAAGATGCAGCATGGAGCACTAAATGAGATGTTCATACAGCTTTTTATTTTAGGTTATGTCTAGACTCCAAGGGAGGAGAGTCCCAAATGACCAGATCTTGAAGTAGGTTTTAATCTCTGCAACATTGTTTTATGTTGAAATATGCAGTACGTATTTATGTTATTCAAGTGTGATTACATGGGGTTTGGAGTTTATAGCTAGGTTATAGCTATAACCTCAATTGCAGCCCCAAGATAGGTAAAACCAACATTTTAGAGCCTATTTTTGCATTGTGGGATCATAAAAGGGTTAAATGAGTGCTATAAACGTGTAGACTTAAAGGGCTTTAAATTTAAACTCCTTTAAACTTAACTCCTTCTCCAAAGACTACCAGCTATTTCCCATTAGGGGGCTTTAAGCAGCAAAATAGGTGTCTTATGCCTCTTTAAAGTCTCCATATTCTCCCTAAGTCCCTTAACACTAATATAGGTCCAACAATATTGACTTTACTCTTGCCAGTGATATCACAGTACGATTGGCCATAGTAACTGAGGTCCTTCAGGTAGGGCAGAAAATTGTTTAATGAACCACAGGCTGAAAACTTTGCCTAACCCAACTTACAGGTAGATTAAATTACATAGAGCAGAGCCATCAATCTGGTTAACTCAGTGATTGGTCCTGGCCTTCCAGGGTTTGGAGCAAATTTCCCTTACATTTTCAAGAATTTGCCCACTGATTGCATGGCTTAATACTGTCCTCAGTAAAGTATCTTTTTTCTGAGAAATCAAGAAGTAAATTAACATGATACAGAGGGCTACTAGTAATGGCACCTTCCAGGCACACTTTTACATTCTACTGATTTACATGTGAGGACATTTACTTAAGGCTGACACTTTTATATGAAACTAAAACTCTCTGAATTTAATGTAAGATAATAACAAATATATGGGACTGTGGTCCACATCCACCCTACTGAAAGGATTGGTCAGTTCCTTGTAGATACCTCAAGGTTGAAAGAATCTTGCCTAGGTAAGAAAGATATTCAATGAGACAGAGTTTCAAACAAATGTATTTATCCTAAAAACAGGCAAGGAGCAATGTTTTCCCTGAAGTTTGCCACAGTTGGTGTGGGATTGGAGGGGGAAAAAAAGCCATCACGAGTTAAGTTTAGTTAAATATGCACAATTTTGTTTATTGAAGAGATTAGGACAAAAAACATTAAACCAAATACAAGACAAAGCACCAGAGGCAGTAAAATCCCACCATGCACATCACCAATCTTTCTTCCTACAAGTTTATAAAATAAATGTTTAAAAAAAGAAGAAGAAGAAGAAGAAGTCCCTCAACACAGCACCATCTTCAGAGTGTAAAAACATTACTCTTTTATATTCTCAGATACCAAAATAGAAGCAAGGCAGGTCAGCTGCAGCTTTGTCTCTTGATAAGGAACTCTGAACCACCATCTTTGAGAGTGGGATCAAAACCTTCCCGCAGGGCAGGTGAAGAGCATTCATACGTCAAATGCCAAGTAGCTGTACGCACATGCCACAGACTATAATTAAGCACAAAATTCAAGTAACATTTACATACTACAGAGCCCACATGTACCTATCCAAAAAACAGGACCACTTCACAAAAACGCATACAGGCAGTAACATCAGAACAGCTGAGGTACTGGAAACACAAATATCTATGCCAAAAAGATGGGTTGGTTTTCTGCTGTTTCCTCCGATGTCATACAGCAATATAAAAGCAGTAATAAAAATCATTTGCCAGTCTAAATCAAAATGAAAGCTTTAACAAAGAAGGGGTGGAACTGTGGGGGGAAGGGGGGCTAAAATATGTCAGTCAGGGACAGGATTACCTGAAGAGAAATATAAGTTTGTTAACTACAGCATGTAACATGTCACCCCAAGTCAACCCGTAATTGAAGTACTGGCTTAAATTCATCACAACTGTGACAGATTCATCAATAAATAAAATCTTGACAATAAAAAAGGTGCATATTACGATGTACTTTTCAGGAGACAGATCTGTGTCCCAGCAACGTTCAGCTTATTAACAGGTGAATGAACAGAAAAGTAAAAGAGCATCCTTGTTGTAAGTCAAAAATGAAAGCACGAGAACCCAGGCCACTGCCTTACCAAGATACTTGGGGTAAAGGTGGGGGTGGGTGGCACGTATTTCTTACTTCAGAAAGATCCACCTTCTGTTCCTACTCAGGACATATAGAGTCTTAGCTGGTTCTAAAATCCAATTTGTTCCCTCCTTTGAGTAATCCAAAAGATATCCTCCTCACCCCACATGGTCAACGTTATGTGCAGTAGGTAAAAGTGAAAGCCAGTATTTCAACAGTCTTTGAAAAACAAAAGAAAAGTAGACAATTATTCTGGTCTTTTGCTAGTATGGTAAAAAAGTCTGATTTCTGGCTCCCTGTAAGAAAAGCCCACGAAAACCAATGGCTTGTATTCAACTACATCCACTCTGCTGACAGAAAGCTCTTTGATCCAGTGGACGCTATGGATAGAAGATGGGGAGGGTCATTCCCACACATTTCTTCTATAGGCTCTTGTATAATTTCTCAGGAGCATCCCCTTGGGTGGCGAGGGGAGAGGGACAGCTCATCAACAAAAATCAGTTGTCACACAGAGAAGCCGTCACTAGATCAAAGAGTCTTCTGTAGGTTGTGGTGGGGAGAACATCTGAATACAACTCAACTGATTACAAGAGTTTCCCTCTTCAAAGGAATGGAGCATTCCAAATATCATTTCTTCTAGCCAAAAAGAGTTTTTTTTTTAAACTTATGTCTGTCAATTTAAAACTAGGAATCCAGAGACATGTTCAAAAGCTGTTTAGCACTCACTTCTCATATCTTCCTTTGTGCACTTCCCACCCGCCCTCCTGAAGATGAAGCCCACTGCAACTATTAAACATCTGATTTTGAAAACAGGAAACAAAGGAACAAAATAATAGCTAATTGTACCTTCCCTGAAAAATGGCTGAAGTTAAATATCTAACAGTGCGATGCCAAGATGCAAGAGTTCCTATTCACTGGGAATCATATTGTATTTGAATGAAATGGAATCCGGACTGGAGTAGCGGCTGCATCGGAACGTTGAGTGTGCAGCGTCCTTGGCTCCATAAAGATGAGAAGTTACAGCTGCTCCATGCTGCTACCTCCTCCTTTTCTTTTGATGTCAGTCTAACTTGATAGCAACGATTCCTCCTGCCTAGCCATTCTCAAGCTACATCTGTCCTTGAGCATTCCTTCTCCAGCCTAAACAAAACAAAACAAAAACTTCCTCCAAGTGGTCTTTTCTGCTATCAAGCCAGGATGAGACATAGATATAATTGGGCATTTTCAGAAAGGTCTCCCTTCATGTTGTCCTTTCTGGACCATGCATTACCCAAGCTAGTCCTGACACTTAGTTAAAGAATGGATCAGAATCCTCTTCCATGTTAACATCAGGCACCAGCTGATCTGTTACTTCCTTAGCACCATATCCTGAATTAGACACATTAAAATCTGTGGAAAACCAAGGGTGGTCCAGAATTTCCTGCGAAGTCAGCCTCTCTGAGGGCTCTCGGCGCAGGATGCTACGTATAAGGCATTTTGCCTTGGGGGACAAAGTCTCTGGAATGCTGAACTGCCCACGGCGGATTTTACTGAAGAGAGAACTCGGTTCAATGTCATGAAATGGATAGCGTCCGACTAGCATTGTGTACAGCATGACTCCTAGACTCCACACGTCCGCTGCTTTGCCGGAGTAGCTGCCATTTGTGTTCAAGATTTCTGGGCTCACGTAGGCCGGACATCCGTGCTTATCAGAAAGGGAGTCGTCATTTCCTCGCAATATGTAAGCATCTTCAAGGCTCTCCAATTTTACTCTAGACCTGCAGAGCAAGAAATGACAGACCAAAGATTAGACTCACTGACAATGATGCGTAAGTGGCATCAAAGAAAAGGCAAGAATATTCACTCTCAGGCTAGGATGCAGAGTAATACCCATCAGGTTCCCTACCCCTCGTAACTTCATAACGTTTTTTTAAAAGCTCCTTAAAAAAGAAAAAGAAAGGAATTCTAGCAGGCCACAAGGAGCCAGCCTCCAGTATTATCTGTATGTCTAGGAAAGCCACAAATTAGCCCTATAAGCATACCCAGATGTCCTGGGTTAGAGGCAGAGGACATATCAAGTACCAACCTGACATTTTGGGGGGGGGGGTAACTGGTAACATCCCACAGCTGCTATTCTGTGAGCGGGCATGCCCTCACATCCAAACCTAATTTCCAGAATAACTGATTGTTCCCATAAAGTCTTCTTCATGCTTTATCATTCTGTGCATTTACTAATCTGTTAAGGTATGTCATACAAGATGTGATAAGTGTTTGATTTCCATTGTTGTTATGCATTTATTTAGAAAATTTATATAGACACCCATCTTACATATAAACTCTGGGCAGCTATTTCCAAAAATAGATGGAAAATTTGCAGATCTAGGCCATCTCTAATATAGCCTGAAATCCCATGCTGAATTATCCACTTAGATAAATGCACAAGGAAGACTGACAACCTACTAAGTGTACACATGAAGTGGATCCTTCCCCTGAATCAAATTGATTTGACCCACCACAAACATATGGTTAAAAAGTTGGTTTACACATTCATTTAAAGGTAGATGTGTACATCTCTAGATATATAAGGGGGGCCCCAAAAAAACCCAGAATTATCTTCTGGAGGGCAGTCCCCTTGTAGTACAGGTTTCCCCCGCTGGGTGTTTTAGGAACCCGTCTGCATCAGCGCACCAGCTGGGTTGTTGTGAGAGGCTGTGCTCGGCTTCAGTGAGTTTTTTTTTAGAGACTCTTTCAACGCGTTTGCCTATTTCGTGATGGGCGATTCGTGCCTCGCTTGCTCACACCTGAACAAAGAGGCAATCGCTAGACTGCGTGCCACGCTTTGAAGGAGCAGTTGGAGGCTGACCCTGATTTTTTTTTCAAAAGTCATAACCAGAGATGAATCTTGGTGCTACGCCTACGACCCCGAAACGAAACAGCAATCCAGCCAATGGAAAGCTGCCCACCACCCAAAAAAGCACAAGTGAAGTCGAACGTGAAAACAATGATCATCTGTTTCTTTGAAGTGAGAGGGATTGTGCACTCGGAACTTGTTCCTCCGGGTGAAATGGTCAACTAAAGTTTTTATCTGGAAGTTTTGAGAAGGTTGCGTCACAATTTGTAGAAGAAACATCCCGAGTTGTGGCAAACAGGTGACTGGTTCTTCCACCATGACAACGCACCT